ATCTAATATGTATTAATGCATCGTACACATAGCTGGCACTAGGCATTTTCACACCTGATGCAATCTCTGTGGATCCTAAATTCTGCTTCCAATGCCTGATCTAAAAGTTTTGCCATTTCTAGATTTTGTGGTTCGGTGTGTCACTAAATTCTAAAAATTCTGCCACGTCAGCTCTGTAACCAGCCTTTACCATATATATTTCATATTTTTCTGAATGTTCACATTACTAAAGAAATAAAATTAGCCGCTTTTTCTCTACATTCTAAATGCATGTAGTTTTTTTTAGAATAACAGAAATCCTTAATTTATTCCAAAAATTTTTAAATGAAAAGGAAACGTGTTGAAGAAAGAAACTGAATACGTAAAGAAAATTATTCTTCAAAGATATGTGCAGTTATTATTATGTAAATTACCCAATTGTTTATGATTTCAGCCTTTACTATAATTTCCCAATACTATTTCCTCATATGATAATTACTGAGCCAGATTAAATTAAAATGTATAATCTTTGACCACTGGTCCACATTTTCAGTTTGAATTTGACTGTTCTTGTTTAATTATGTCACCATGAGCTGTCATTGATTTTGTTAGCATCAGAACATGCCTTTATGTTCCAAGTTCTTTTTAAACAAGAGGTTTATTTAAACCTTTGTCTGATATTGTAGTTATTTTGAGACGTAGCGATAATATGCTTCATGTCTGTCGGAGGTTTTGGACTATTTAACTTTTACCAGATCAAGTAAAACCATATAGGTATTGAGGAGAGGTTGACAAGTTAGGAGATACAGCACGCAGAAACAAGCGAGAGCATTGGTTTGCATATTGAGACAAATCTCTAATTGCCAGAAAAGATGCTTAAAGAGAAGGAAATCTATATAAATTAGCCAAAATGTTTGGGAAGTCTTCAAATTAAAATGACATAAATATTTTGTTGAATGTTGTTGTTTTGTAGCTTTTAAATGTGTAATTGTCCTAATATCGTTTAAAAATCAATGCCATAAATTACATGTATTTTAAACTGTGAAATTTTATTAGACTTTGATTTTAATAGGGCCTTTTTTAACAAATGTTGTTAAAAAATAAAATTTAATAGTGTCCATGTAAATCCACAAAGACTAAGGTTATCAAACTGCCTAATTTAGTTATTTATAACTAACTGCTTACCCTTAAAAATTATTTGTACATATTAAGCGAGTTATTGCCTTTCATAAATACTCACTGTGGTCACAAGATAAAACACAAAAATGTAAAAATTCAAGTAAAACTTATCTTTGCATCTAGTTAGACTTAAAATAACTGGATTACAACCCCTGGAGTTCTACACGAAGCTGCGACACTAACTGTATTAAATAGAGCCTGACTAACTTTCAACACTTGCCCAACCGTGCCTACATCAGGCCTTTCAGATTTGTTCTAATCAGCAGGACAAGCAGCAGTGGTGACAACATTGTCTTTTGTTAGGAATCATACTGATTATGATCTTACTTCTCATTTTAACTATGCCGTTTGACATAAAATCTACCTGCTATTTGCTAAACCTCTAGATTGACCAAGTATGTGACAAAATGAGACATAAAAAAATCAGCATAAATCTAACTGTTAGTAAAACATAAATGCTACTAATCTTCTTTCAAATATGTCCAACTATTATAAGTGTAAAATATTTAATGCTACTTGATATATTGCATAAAGTTTCTTTTATTCTCAAACTTATTAATAAATATGTTAATTAATTCCTATTTAGTAATAATGCATTACTTAGGGATCTATTTTATTTTTAGGGTGGTATTACAAAAGTAAAATTCAGGCATATAATAATATTTTAATTGAATTTATTCGGTTCCCATTTGCACATAGGTCCTTAATTTTCATGTGCAGAAATGTGTACAAACTCTAAGTTATTATACAGTCAAAAGTCGTTAATTCGGACACCCATAATTCGGAATGATCTATAATCCGGACCTCAAAGCTAAAAACTTTCTGCGCATGCGCCGCATTGACACATGCGCAAAGGCGTTTACGCATACGCATAAGACCTCTTACGACTGCGCATTTGCGTGTGCGCAAGCGCAGAATACGTTTTCGCGTTTTACGTATAACGGACGGTATAAGCTAAAATTATCTAATTATCTTTTTCAGTTAATGTTGATGATTGCGTTGTTCCTTAATTTTCGAATTAGATCCGGCTTATTATTTTTTGCAGACTGTAAGAGCAATACTATAAAAGTATACTTGAACTTTCGATTATGTCAAATAGAATTTCCGATTCTGGAGCTCCCAAAGGATCATACAAAACGAAAGTATGTTTCGATGTCCATCAAACAAAAAGTGGAATTGCTGCAAAAAAATGGATAAAGACATGAAGAATGTGACAGAGAGGTTAGTGAAAACGAAAAAATTTCGATTGACAAGTTAGTCGGTATTTTCGGCACAGCAGTTAACGGGACTTGAACAGCGGAACTTTGTAACTGAACAAAAAATTATGTCTGCTTGTAGAATTAAAGAGAAAGTATTATCACATAAAACAAAGCAACTTAAACAACTTACATTGAAAGAAATGTTAAATAAGCAAATAAATATTGAGCTTTTTTTTTTGTAAATTTTGATACCCTTTAGATCATAATTGTTCTTTATTTCATAAATTATGGTTTCATATTTTTAATTTTAGAATTTCTGCATGCCATCTTACGCGATTTAAACTGATGATCTATAATCCGGAAAAATCGATAATCCGGAATCGCCGAAGTCCGGACGAGTCCGGATTAACAACTTTTGACTGTATTTGCACATTTCTTAATATCATTTTCAACATTATCAAAAATAACATCTGTACTAGAAATAATCTTATTAGGATTCAAGGAGCCAAAAGATTCACACTTACTTTTAAATATCACTAGACAACCTTCAGCCATTGAGCGTTTTTTTTTTTTTTTTTTTTTTTTTTTTTTTTTTTTTTTTTTTTCAAAGTCCACAGTCAGTATATTTCAGATATTATCTCTTTGATCAGTTCACAGTTCCTTGCTAAAGCCTTTTTAGAAGTGTCCAGGTCTAAGTGAATTCTTTCAGATTGGTGCATTATACTTATAAAATGAATAGTCACATATTTATCTTTGGCAATTAGATGCTGCCAATTTTCATCAAGCATATCATTTCCATATTTAATTAGATCTTCCGTCAGTGTCGAAACCATATTTCGAGCGGTATCCATATACTTGTCAGGAGCAGCATTTAACTGGAGAAATTCATTTCCCTCCATAATTCATGAAATTGAGAGAAATCGTAGCACAGTAGAATCACTCACAGTCACATATAACACATATTTTATCACAAAAGTTAAAGAAACGCAACGTAATCCAGCGAAAATAATAACATGCAAATCTAATGTGGCAGCGAAAATGTCACTGGTGTCCATAACACGAGGCACATTGCTCACGAGCTCAGCAAAGCCATGTCCTATCATTCCAGATTTTAGGCATGTACTGTCATTTCCAGCTTTTTTGAATTTTTTAAACTGACTGTTTTTGTTGTATTAGCATATCGGCATTTTATTAAGTTTTCAAAACATTTTAAAGAAAGATAAGATAATAAATGCTATATAAATGCAAAATTTTAATCAATGGATAACTGAAATTGACACAAAATAACTGAGCCATCTTGGATATTGCTGAATGAAATGCTAGTACTGCCATCTTACTCCATGTATATCAGTGAAATGTGTACTGAACCGGTGGTTGCCAGAACATGAAACCTTTTAGCTGTAGTGACATAAATGTATTTAGGACTGTAAAATGTAGAATTTTGGAAGTCAGCTTCTGAAGGCAAGAGAAATATGTCTAAATTAATGCAGTTGAAAAAATGGAACATTACTGAATAAGCAAAGGATTCAAAGAATAAGATGTCTATACACATATCCCTTCTTCATATATTTTGAGTTAAAATTTCACTCTTTTTTTTTCCTCCCTCTGAATAGGTTCAGGAATGAAAGTATGTTTTAATGGTGAACAAATCCCGAATAGTGAGAAGGCTTTGTGGTGAAAAATGTCACTAACTCATTGATCATGATGTGGTCCATTATCACTGTCAAAAGTGTTAGATGTTTTTGTATAGTCAAGCGAATGATGCAGTTGGATTTATCCAGAATAAAAGGGGTTATTGTGACAACTGTTTGAATAAGAGAATGTTTCTCATATTGGTGAACTTTTGTTCATGTAAGAACTATTTGACAAGCTGCCTGGCCGTATAAAGGACTTTTTGAAAGAATAAAATGCCCTTTGACAACTGGAAGATTTGTTAAGATACAAATCCAACTGTAATAAATGAAAGATTTTGGAAGCTTACTAAATGTGGGGGGAGCAGTAATTATTACAAAAACTCTGCAAAAAAATTATTCTTCCCTGGGTTTGTTGCTCATAAACATGGGAAAATGTACCAAGAAAGTGTTCAGTAATTTCCAAGTTTTATTTTTGAAAGCTGTTTGTTCTAATATTATAAAAAGTACATTTTTGAATGTTTATACACTTCACAAAAGTAAATAAATGCATCCAACTGTAATAAATGAAAGATTTTGGAAGCTTACTAAATGTAGAGGGGGCAGTAATTGTTACAAAACTGCAAAAAAATTATTCTTCCCTGGGTTTGTTGCTCATAAACATCGGAAAATATACTAAGAATGTGTTCAGTCATTTCCAAGTTTTATTTTTGAAAGCTGTTTGTTTTAATATTAAAAAAAGTACATTTTTGACTGTTTATACCACAAAAGTATATAAATGCATAATTTTCTCCAAGTTTGCTTTCTTTATACTTCAATATTTAAAGACACTAAATCATTCCTTTTACCTTGTAAAGTAAGGAAGCTTCTCCCCTCCCCCTTATTATTCCCTGTCTATATTTAATTTATTCTTAAATGTTATTTTAAGAATTTATAATTTTCTGTTACAGTTTAAATACCATGTTGATTTAAATTTTCATTACTATTAATGGTGAAATCATGTTTGATTTAGGAAGAGAGAAGAAAGGAAGAAGGAGAAGGCGATGGGAAAGCATCTGATGATTCAGAATCAGGTATGGTTTTCAGAAACTTAATACTATTAATTTTTTTCTTTAAAAAAAAAAAGACCATAGCAGTAGTTCTGTAATTTCGCATCAAGTTGCTTTCAAATATATGTGTACTAGAATATACAATATAGTTAAAGAAATTCAGCATAAGTGAGGCAATGGATTTTAACTTAAGAAAGATGAGAGTTTTCCCCTCACTGAAATGTTCAAGGCTGTCATTTTGATGGAATAAATTAAAAGTAAGACTAATGTATTTTATTGTAATGTGTTGCCACTAAGAGAAAAGATATTTAATTTTCCGTTTTTCATTGAATTTCAATGCAAATTATATAGTCTATTTTCTGCAAACTGATTTCTCGTAGTTACTTTTATTCCATTGTTCATGAAAATATAATTTTGATTACTGATAAGAAACTTATAGAACAAAAGGTGAAATGCATTGATAGTTGTATGTTTATGTTGAAGTTCTTCGGAAAGTTGGGGGAAAAATAGTTTCTTTGTGTCTTCTTTGTATGCACTTGATGGACTGTTGTCTATAGCATTGCATTTAGCATGTGGTGTTGGGCCCCTTTCTTTCAAAATCTTTTCTTCCTTTATCATCCAGGGAAGGCAGATATAGTTTACACTTACTTCCAAAGAAATGTTGTATCTGTTTTACGTCATTTAGACATAAACATTTCTTACGGGTCAAGTCATTTAGACATAAACATTTCTTACGGGTTGACCCGCTTTGAGGTTCTAGATATAATCAGAAGCTGTCAGAAATCAGTTCTGTTAATAATCAAATTTATTCATTTTACACATTTTCAAATTCGGTAAATTACTGTTTACCTTAAATTATTAAAAGTGATAAAAGGTTTTTTTTTCCCCCCACAATTACTACTTTTTGCATTGTGAAAAATTAAACGACGATTTGGGTCAAATTGACCCACTTCACGGTTTTAGTGTTGATCATAAATCAGTTACTGGATGGCAAAATTTGTAATATGATTCTAGATCCAGAAAATACCACTACAGACAGTGACAGAGAGACGAAAAAATTTCGATTGACAAGTTGGTCGAAATTCTAGACGGCAAATTACAGGACTTCAACAATGGAACTTTGTTACTGAATAAGAAATTATGTCTGTCTATAGAATTAAAAAGAAAGTATTAGCACAAAAAACGAAAAAACTTGAAAGAAATGTTTGATAAAGTAAAAAAATACATATTAAACATTTTTTCCTAAATTACGATACCCTTTAGATCGCAAATGCTTCATTGTTTCATAAATCTTAATTTCATATTTTTAATTTTATTATTTCTACATGCCATCCTACTAGATTTAAACTGATGATCTAATATCCAGAATCATGGAAGTCCCGATGAATCCGGACCTGCGACTTTGTATTGTATTACTATTTCTTTTGCATAATATGCTCCTCAAACATACAGAAAAGCCAAAAAAGACATCAAGCTTTGACCAGTTGTTCACAAGCTTCTGTTTCAGCACTTTCTTTTTATTATTTTTCTCATTGGTTCATATATAAAGAAATATAATGAATTTGTAACTGTTTTAGTTTCTACATTTCTCTTTGCAATGTGCTATTCCATCGGATTTCAATAGTGTATTTTGATGCTAAAAATGTTCTGTTTGGTTATTAATAGTACTCTATCGCTTGCAAATCTTTTTTTTTTTTTTTTTTTTTTTTTTTTTTTTTAAGGCTCAAAAATATTCTGTTATATCAAATTGCTTTCAGTTGTTTTTCTTCATTTATTCCTTGCAGGTACATTTGCATGTTTAGTTTTTAAGAACTTTGTAAGAAAACCAACTTGCTCTTGATGGTTTCCACTTCAAATTCAGAATAGCTATCTGATATTTCAAGTTCCTGTGGAACAAAATCTTCATCGTCCTAGGATATTCATCCTCCACTTGAAAAAGTGAAAATCTGTTGCTGGGAAAAGGGATAAGATATACTAAAGTACATATTTACACAATAATATTTTTAAGAGTTTGTTTTAAAAATTTCATCCTTTCTTTAATGCCTTAAGAGTGACTGCAGTAAACCAAATAGGTATACTACACCTTTTGTTTTCTCCTTTTGGTAACCAAGTAAAGTTTTATGGAGGTATGTATGTATCAGTATCAATTGTGTAAAGCAGGGGTTCTCAACCGGTGCAACAAAGAAGCAAAGTATTTTTAACTAATAAATTCAAAAATTAAAACCCCAACATCCTGATTGAGTTTTTTCTTTAACACTCAAAAATATGTGTGATCTGAGCTTTGTTCGAGAGTGGTAGTGGTGGTATTAAAGGTTTTCAATTTTTTATATGGTATGTGTTAGTCAAATGGTTGAGAACCGCTGGTGTAAAGTAAGGAAAAGTCACAAAACTTCAGCAGCCCAAGTCCAGAAATAACGACAGCAGTCAAAAGTCTTATCTGAGATAAATAAAATGATAGTAGTTATCGTTCTAGTGCTAAATAAAAATGAATTGTGGGATACTGAATGACTATCATATTTGTGCCCCAAATACTTCTCATTTTAATTCAAGCAAAAAATTAGTATGTTTATTGGATTGCAGTATAATTACTGTTGACCAGTTTTGTTATGAGTGAGAATAAGAATATTCTGCAAGTTATCCATGTTTTAAAGTTCTCATTTCAAAATAAAAGACAGCAGATATTATCCATATGTCTCCCTTTACGTTTTCTGTTAACTGTTTTTATTTAATATTGAACTGCAGAAAAAAGTGTAATGTGTTTTGCTGTTTTGGGTTATATTGTCTATCATTTTTTAAAAGTCTCTTCTGTATTTAGCATCTCCAGTTCAAGTTACATCTGGGAAAACTGATACAAGCTTAGTAAGAAGTAAGTCAATTAACCGACAAAGATTAGCTGCCTTTTCAACTGCTATGGAATCTATTCAAGCTGAAGTTGAAGCTGTCGAAGAAGATGAAGATGTACCGTAAGTTTCATTTTTTTCCAGGTTGTGATTCTTTTGCTATGATGAATTTTAGTCTTCTCTGAAAGTTCATAAATTTAAATGTTAAACGTAACAATATGATCCGTATGCATTCTGCAGATATTAAGTATTGAACTAGACTGACCTGCTCTGGACTGTCAATGTATGGAACTTTGTGGAAGGTGTTGGTAGCTAAGTAACTCATAATATAGTGGATTCACATTAATGCGATCTTTGATGTATTGACCATATAGCATCCAACTAAAGTAACAACCATTTAATACAGCATCCATTTTCATTGGTCTAATGATTGTCGTTTTATCGCTAGTAAATTGTAGTTTTAGAATTGGCAAGTATTTTCAGTCCTTTCCGATAATAGAGTTTATAACTGTACTTTTTGATTGTTTTTTCTTCCTTCACTTTTCATTTTTTTTAAACAATTGAGAACATCTGCTGCCATATTACACATTCTGAAAATCTCATTTTTTCAGTCAGTGAATCATCACTAAATACTTTAAATCCTTTTCGCTTCTCACAGTTCTAGATGAAGTTTTTCTCTGACTTTTTTTTTTTTTTTTTTCTGTTTTCTGCTGAATTAATGGCTTAAATTTTTAAAAGAATGGGTAATTTTTATATTTCTTTGTTCTTAAGATTAACACCAAATATGCTTTTTAATGATCAGCTTTTTCAATCAGTATTTAAATTGGAACTCAAAATAACTTATCAAAAAATGTCCACATTAAAGAATATGAGTGGGAAGCAAACTCTGTTGAAAACTAAACGGGGGGGGAGGTAAAAAAACTGATAGTTACTCTACATGCCACAAGTTACTTTAGTGACACCTTTACTGTATATGCCACAAGTTAACCTCAGTACTGCATGCCACAAGTTATCTTTTAAAGGCTTGAAGCTGATCAGAGATGGTAAAGGTGGACTGAAGGCATGGTTAATTATTGCTGTTTTTAGAAGGAAAAAGAAAAGACATTCCCTCCTGAAAAAAGAAGCTGTTTAAATATAATTTTTCTTGTCTGAAAAATGCAGAAGAAACTTAGATATGTACACCACACTGCCAAATATTTATTATTATTAGTTCACTTATCTGTTGCAATGTAAAGATGAATTAGAACACTGTTCTTGTCATTCAAAAAGTCTTCACAAAGGTATTTTTCTCCTACAGAAAAGTTCATGTGGTTCTTCATGGACTTTTATTATAGAGCTAAATCTGGAAAGTGGGAAGATCTAGCACACTACTGAATGCCAAAAATAACTGTATGATTTTTGTGTACATTCCATCTAATAAAATTCACAGATAAATGCAATAAGGCACATCAAATCTACTGTCTACAATCTTTCAAAATGATTTCAACACACTTCTGTTTATTGCACTGATTTTACACAGACACTTACTTCTATGGGGGTTGGGATACATCCAAAATAATCAGCTTCACTGATTATTTGATCACTTGGGAAATGATTTATCACACCTTTGGTATGTTTCCTTTTGATCATAGTTTACTGAAGCATTTTCAGAGTTTCTGCATTTTTCTAACCAAGTTTTTAAGAAAATATAAAGCACATGTGATATTCTTCCATTTTTGTATGAATAAAATTACAAAGCACATCAAGGAAAGCATTTACAAAAAATGTTGGTAAAAATAGATTTGACACGACATGTACAAAGAATAATGCTGCTTTTGTTCATACTGAATGAATAAAAAGTATCAACGGTTGGCAAGTTTTTTACAGTTTCACGAACTTTACGAAAAGTGCATTTTGCCTGTTAATGAAAAGAACAGTTATTCTCCATAAATCATCAAAAGAACATGAATTAATATTTCAGAAGTTATTATGTGCACAAAAAATCATCCAAAAATTAACTCTCCAAGACAGGTAGCATTCATAAGCTTTCATGTTACTAATATTCTGATTTTATTTTTTGGTTACAAGCCTGGATATTAAAAATAGGAACTTTTTTGTAAATTTCATAGTCATTTTAGCTACCAGTATGAATAAGTAGTTGGTAATGTTAATAGATGAGCAGATTTTATGTAGAGATCTTTCAAAGGAAACTTGTGAAGTTTAATTTTTTTTAATGCTCCAAATAACTTTGTTAGGACTCTTGAGTATATTGCTTATAAAGGCAGTTATTTTCTGTATTTATGGCATACTTACCTAAAATGAAAATATTCTCAGAATCAAAGCAAAAATTTCCTTATTCTGTATTTAGGTGAATTAATAGGGAATTAGATTTGATTAATAATCCTTAAAAATGCAAATGACTGAAAAGTGGTTAGTGTTTATGGTAAGTGTGTGAATGTGGTGTTTTACGCATTTGCTTTAATGTTAACAGAATATGTTGTGATAATATGTGGGCAGTCCTTCATAAATTTTTCTCCCTCACTTTAATATTTGTGGAATGTTGGTGAGAAATGTATAGTACTTTATGTGCATAACTATTTACTGGAATAATTCAGGTGCATAAGGGGTTTGCATATTTTACTAAGAGTGGAAAAAATACAGGAATGATAAATTTAAGGCCAGTGATTGAGTAAACATTAAAAGAGTACATGTGCTGTATATTTATAATTTGATCCTAGCATCTTCTTAAGAAACTTAAAAATAATGTAGTTGTTTCGAATTTGCTGGCAGAACTCAATTGACTTAATGACAGAACTCTTGTATAATGGTTGTATTTGGCAAATTTCTGACTGGAACATAATCATATCTGTGATACAAATGTTTATTAATTCAAGAGTACAGCATATATTTTCTGAGTAAGTGTCTGATTTTCTTGTATTCTAGAATAAATGAGAACTGGAAGATAATATCAACAAGTTACTTAAACTGATTTATTACTTCTTTTACTTCTAATAATGAAACATGTAAATGCTTATGAATACTTCTCTTGATATTCTTTAAAATATTAATGAAGAAATGGTCTTTTCTTCCAGACCTCCTGTTAGGCTTAATAATCGAGATTGACTATTTGATAACCATGCAAAACTGTTAACAATAATAAGAAAGTGATGTCAAAATAATACTTAACATAAATGTGTATAATGTTGATCTATTCAGAAGTTCTGTATTTTTCATTAAAAAATGGACATAAGAGTTAAATTTTTTCATTGCTTTTATTTTTAGTCCTGGTGGCATTCCAGCCAAAAATTCGAAAGGCGAACATCTGTTATTATTTTTAGGTATAATTGACATTCTTCAAAGTTTCCGGCTGAAAAAGAAATTGGAGCACACATGGAAATCTGTTTTACATGATGGGGTAAATGAGTTTTTTTTTTTTTTTTTTTTTTTTTTTTTTTTTTAAGTTATTATTTGTCTTTATTATAAAAATACCATATGTGTTGTTAATGTGTAATCCAGTATGATTCTGATTATCTGGAACTAAGTAGGACTAACTGAATAATAGCAAAATCAAAGTAACTAGCTTGTCTTTTCAGCTGCTAGTAAACTGCATATGTACTAGGAACAACAGTAGAAAAAATGTACATGGTTTATATATTTAATCTGAACTGCTTTAATAGATCCTTAAAAAATTAATGCTGTTGTATTGTCTTGTTTTTATCATATTTAGACCAATGAAAAATTTTAAAATGTCTAAATTAAATGAAAATATGATTAACTTGGCCTAAAAAAATAACCAGTATGGGTAATTTATATTCCAGAAATCTGAGATTTGATTGTGTATGTTGCACTCTTTTTAATATTGCCTGTCTCTTTAGAATTATTTTAATATTTTAAAAAGAATGTATTCTGTCTGAAAAGTCCATTAAAGAGTTTTGTTGTTTTAAAAAGTGGCTGTCAGAAAGTCAAAAAAAGTATGTAATATACAACTTCTGCTTAACCCTATCACTATAGTATACTCTTACAGGCCAAAACATTTAATTTTCCTGAAACATTCACAATAATCTACCTATTTCGGATTTTATGTGCACACCCATTGTCTTGGATAATTTAGCATCTGCTTTTCGTCCATTATTTCTTCAACAGTTTCTGACTTGAATTTCAGATTGTAGATTGTAAATTGTAATTTATATAGTCTAAATAATTTTAAAGAACTTTCAACCATACAGCTAGCATTTTATCTTTAATTTCATCACCTACTTATGCATGGGCATGCTTTTAGTTTGAAAAAATAAATTCCATTTTTCAGAAATGATGTTTAATCAACAATCTGGCAAAAGGATGTCTGCTTCTGCAGACACATTTAGAATATCATCGTTTAATTTTCTAACTTCATTTCTGGGCAGTTATTAAAAAATCATTTTGCATTATATGTTTATGATACTGGGTTTTAAAAATCTGTCTGCACCCAAATCCATTGACTGGGATTAATACCATTCACATTTTTCAGGTATCTAATATCTGAATAAGTAGGACTACAGTGAGGAATTTTCTGTTCCTCATTTCCAAAAGGGGAATTTTTCATGAAGAGAGAATGAAAGTAATGAAGGATATAGGAAAATGTTTTGTCTTTTCTTGAGCTTTTATATGGATTTGTGTTATGTTAATTTTTATAGATCTTGTCTTTAAACGAAGAAAATTTACCATTAATTTAGAGATAATTTGATAGTTGTTTTATTTGTTTCGGATCATTAGAAGCAAGTGATAAATTGGATTGGATTGTGATTTGTATGTCTGTGTTCTCATGAGACTACAGTGAAATAAAAACACATTATTACAGTTATTAAGGATTAAGGTACATATTACAATAAGGAACTAATACTATAATTAGGTAAAATTTGAATACCTTCTTTTTTATGCTGCAATTAAAGAAAAACTTGGAAAATATAAGGAAAAAAAAAGGAACGTCTTTTTAATGTACAGTCCCTTATAAAAGCATTTTGGAGAAATATAATTGTAGGTGTACCTGGTTCATGATCTGATGTAATCAACTGCTGTCAAACAAATTTTATGTGAGATGCTTATAAAATTATTGCACTGATACCCACAGACAAATTTTAGGACTGTCAGAAAATGAGTCATCTGCAAGTCGATCTGTAGCATAATACACAAACATATTCTTCACCAGCATGGCAGCCAGATTCAAGGGTCTTTAGAAGGATTCTAGAGTTAACTTACTGCCAGCAAACAAACTGTACCTCTATCTTCTTTTATTCCAGTGTTAATGTTCAGTTGGATAATGTTGTCTTATTTCAGTGTTAACAATCACAGTTTAAATGTGTCTTCAAGTATACTTTTAAGTTAACAACTGGTAAATAAGTGTATTTTAAGTTAATAGTTGATAAATAAGTAACTTATATGGACGATTTCTATCGTGTGAATCAGAAGTGATACTAACATGAAAGTTTTCAAAGATAAGCTGCATTATTTTATCATTTTCATCAATTTATTTTTGTATTGATATTTTTATATTCTGTTCTCTGCATATGTATGATGGCAGCCTTGTGAGGAATGGGTGTGTAGTATGTTGCATGTGTGTATGCTGTGAGAAATTTCGGGGGTATAAAGAACAAAGTACTATACCTGATGGTTATTAATATGATAATAATAATTCCAGAAATCCACAATGCTTGGGACAAGAGGTTGCACGGATTTTAGGATTTTGTGGATTTTAGGACAGAAAAGATAAAGCATAATATTCAGACTAAAAGTGCAAAATAAATAAGGTGTATTAAATACATTTAATTAAATTATTATATACATTATTACAATAATTTATTATAGGCATTAAATTATTATTACATATATAAATTGATTATACAAGTATTATTCAAGTACATATATTATTCATTGTATTATATACGAATCGAGGTTTGCCGATTTCGCCTCATGCAAAGATTTCGGTGTTAGAATCACTGTTGCTGTAAAATTTAACAGCTTTTCTTTATTTTTCCGTATATCATACACAATCGTGTCGTAATTCCATGCCAATCTGCTATAAATCGAGTAGCACCTGCCTTCATCTTTTGCACTTTTTACGTTGCCGTTAATGCAACGTATTTACTTTTTTCAACATTGCAAGCAGTAAAATCATGAGTGCGTTTTTTATCTGTCATTGTATTAAAAAGGGCTGAAATTTAAAATATTTCTAATTGATCCACAAGATATCCGGATAAAAAAAAAGGCAGCACTACACAATCTCGTGAAATAACAAAGCTTGGAAAATACAACAACATGAACTTGAACGAATAGTTGAGTGAATCATCTGCATTTTTACCTCGATGCAGATTAGAGGGAAAAAACTTATTTATTTTTTCTTATTTTTTAAACTTTTTTCTATGTCAATAATTTGGTATTTCCGTTATAACTCATTATTATTCGCTAATTATGACGTCATTATTCGGTAAGTATTTTTTCTTCGATATTTCGTACACAATGTTGCAGTTTCCGGAACCTATAAACTGAATGTTTATATTTTGAGAGGCAACACAGATTTCAGGTCGGCGGATTTTCGGTATTTGACTGTACTAGCATACTTGACACTGAGTTACCTATTTACTTCTCTTGTCAAATTAACTACAAAAATGAATAAATAATAAAAGCTATGTTACAAGAATTCGTTTTAACTGCTTACAGGTATCAACTAACCAGTCAACTACAAACCAGTGTTATCCGTAAACCTAGAAAAAAGCTATGTGTATTTCAGAACTTTACGGTATACTAGAACTATTAATAGTGTTATTACAACTTGTGCAAAATTGTAATAACAATTATTCATAGTTGTAGTATTTACTGATCTTTGCTTGAGTTGTAGTACTCAATTTAGTTTGTTAATGCAGACTAAAAATCTTAAGTATTTTTAGAAGTTAAATTATTTTCATGGTTATTTTTTTAGCTAGGTATAGTTAATGTTTGCTTAAAGTGCAATTATGTTTAAACCAATGTGCTTCTCATAATATATGTCAAGGCTGGAAATTACCAAAGGTCTCAAAAAGTGTGTTCGTACTAAAACTTTGTAAATTTTGAGATGAAACACGTTTATTCTTACAAACTATATATTCAAAATTCCATGCAGATGAGTTTATAGCTTAAAACATTCTCCATTCTTATACAGTGTTTGAGATAGTTAACACATTGATTACCAGCTATGAAATAACATGTAGCAGCATGGTCGTGGGTACTCGCTATGAGTATACATACACATGTTTGTCCATTGAATATATATTGCCAACTATGAATATGCTTGTAGCAAATGTGTGGTAATATGTACTGTGCACTCGAGGTAAGAACAATGAATATGGATTAGCAGAGAAATAAAACTAAAATTTATATATTCCTAAAATAATGCGAAATCGACATTTCTCACAAAAACTGTTTGAACCATGTTTATTCTAGGGAAACAAAAACTAAAAAATGCATTCTGATTTCCCTTTTGGAAACATTTGCTACTCTGAATCACTCCTATTTGCATGTACTACCCCCTTTCAGTTACTTTCTTTTATGCGACACTATCATAATTGGTGACACACATGTTGATTTCCTTTGTTTCTGATTCTGGGTATTTGTCACTATCATCTTTTTTTTTTTCTGCATTGTTTAGCTTTGTAAAATTTATCATTCACATCTTCATTGTCTAATTCATTTAATAAAAGTTTTCCAGTTTAAAGCTAACCCCCACTTTCTGTGTGATATTTTTTTTTTTTTTTTAATTTGAGCCAAAATTAAAATACAGTAATTATGAAACAGAACTAGTTGTGTAAAAACTAATACTGTAGTATTGGTCTGATAAACTTTACAAGGTAAAGCAATTAGGCTTAAGCCTTCTTTCCCCCAAAAAAGTATCGCTATGACTAAACATTTGCAATATTTATACAATCTTAAAATCTAACAAAGAAACTGTGCAAAACTCGTCACTTTACTGAAAAATCTGGGAGATGATTTGTTTGAATTGCTGAAGTCATTCAGTATTGCATTGTGGATTAGTAAATTTTATGAGGGTTTAATGATGTTAGCCGAAAGATATAGCACATCTTTTGTACTAGTTCTTATTCGTCTCTTCACTGAATGTATAAAGTAGTGCCATAAGTATCTATATATTGATCTTTAATTTTAAAAAATACATTGCAGAGCTTTTAAATTTCATTCACTCGTGCAAAATGTTTTCTGATGTATTTCACTTTGACATTTTTTCATAGTATAGTGCTGTGTATATTTCTGTATGATTTTTTACTTTTTTATTACATGTTATGATAATTTATCCCCTAAATAAATTCATTTAGTTTCCTACATTTTCTGAGGTGTCATGCAAAGATGATCTGGAATACCATTATTGTTTTGAAATTAAATGCTTTTGACTTAGCTTGAAATATATACTGAAATAGTATATTAACATAGCTTATTATTTTTCTAGGATACTGTATCAGTTCATCGTCCAGGTTTTTATGCTCAAAGATTTCAAGATTTCATGGGCAAGACTGTATTTAAGAAGATGCCATCTTGTAAGTAGAGTCTTTCTGTAGCTGATTTCTTGTTTTCACTAAAACCATGAAATGGGAATGAATTTGATTCTTTTTTTTTTTATCGTAAATGTGCACTATTAATAATTCATTTGTATTAAAGCTGTACTTCTTGTTTAACTTTCAAACATTTATGATTTTTGAATTGTTCTTTTAAGTAATTATTTAAAACATATACATTATAGACAAAGCATCCTAACTACTTACTTAATATGATTCTTCTATGTTTGCTGGCTTAGTGTGTGTGGTAAAATCTTGGATTTTGTCATAGATGTGTCTTAAAACATTAGGTACTAATTAATAAAATTTTAATCCCTTTAAATTAAGTGGTAGAGCAATTGTAGTATAAATTTGTTATTGGAAATTGTTTAGATACTCAGATTGATTAATGACTAGTGAATGGGGAGGCTAAGAAACTCCTTTTTACTTCCTTGTAAGAAGTAAAAAGAAAGTATTGTAATCGCGAAAAGTTTCAGGCAGCATAGTTCAAGGAAAATATCCGTTTTGACCACTATCGAATGCAATTTAACGTTGATTTTGCATGATATCTGTACGTAAGGTCAGAATAAAAGACTGCATTCCTCCAAAAAAATTATAAAACTGCTTTAAAATGAATTCTGAAGAGAATTTTTGGTGGCATCTGTAAGAACGTATGTACGTTCATGTCTCGCATAACTCAAAAACGAGTAGCCTCGGAACGTTGAAATTTTGTATATAGGACTGCTATAACATGTAGATGTGCACCTCGTATTTTGGTTGCAATTGACCGCACCAAACGTATATAAATATCTTTATGTGTTATCCGCTCTGTTACTCGGCTCTGTGATCTCAGTTTCTTTACTCTTATATCTTTGTAAATTGTACATTTTTTGCTTTAAAAATGATTGAATTATGTTGTTCTTATCTTCCGGTTAAAGTTTTTTATGCCAATTGTAAATCTGGAAGCAATATTTGTACAATTATCAGCAATTTAAAAGCTGTTTAATTGCGGTTAAGTTTTAAATAACATAGTGGACATATTTGTTTACATTTGAAACTGCAGAATAGTAGATTTGTTGCCAGTCTAGAGAGACTAAGCTTCGTAACAACAAAGATAACGCATTCATTTATTATAGCGAATTAAATCATGCTTAATATTTTCTGGAATTTTTTCGATGAAATAAGTGTGAGATTTACTTCATAATTTTTAATACAGATATTTTTGGTTTTTGTGTATTTTTGCCTTGTCGCAAAGAGAGAATTGAATTAATTGAATGAGAAATACTAAATTGTCTGTGAGTAAGTATGTAAAGTGTTTCTTTTTTATTTTGTTTGCTTAATTTCTTTTATAAATCGTTCTAGCTTTATTATAGCATTTGAACAGAACATGTGGCAACGATTAGATAAATCTTCAAATGATATAAATTTTGTGCATTCTGAGTTATAATATGAACGAAATATTAAGTGAACCTAGCGCCATAGTGTCGCTATGCTAAACAAATATAGTGAATTTTAAAGAGTCCTTTTATTCTGTTGTGGTTTATGCGCTGTCGACAAAGTAGATTTAATTCAATCCAATAAATTTAAATGAAATGCAAGAAAATATGCGTATAATTTAATATTCCGTACAAGAAAGCCATGTGGTGTACACATCAGATTTTTTATATTTCGTGAATATTTCTTTTACAACTCTAAAAATGCTTGTTGACTACCTTGAATTTGAGTAAATATGACCATCACATCAATTCAAAATAGCATTTGTGTCATGCTATGTTAATGTCTATGTAATAATAATTCGCACAAGTGCACATTAAGAATGAAATCTCACTTGATGCATAATTCCTGTGTGAATCATTTTTTTTTTTTTTTTTTTTTTTCCATTTAAAGCAGAAGTTTGTAATGAATACATTAAAAAAAGTGTTCAATCAAGGGTCTGTAGTCAAAGCCAAATGTCTTAAGAAATAGTAAAAGATTCTTTAATTTAGCTTGTTCCATGTTTTTTCAATAGTACGCTTTAAATGTACATGTAAATAAGTACCTGTTCATAAGAATGTTTTAATATTTTACATTCAAAAAATTTTTTAAATAAGCAGTTCTATTTCATAATAATTTTAAAGTGTTTTTACTTATTATGAAATATCATTCAAAATACCTATTAAGATCTTTAATAATTACTCGGATAATGTGGGGGGTCAATGTGTTGAAAAACATTCCCAGTCTATAGTAAAATTTAGGTTGATGTCGAAGTCATGGCATCCACGACTGTGAAAGATTAAGTCTTTGAGAACATTTAAAGTTATATATGGATGTAAACAGAGCGTTTAATTGTAAAGAAGACTGATCCAATTGACAAACCAGATATTGGTGAAAGTGTAAATGTCTTAGAAAAGTGAGGAAGATAAAAAGTAGCCTACGCCGTTTCTTTTACAATGGCTTATGATCAATTTATTGATCTGATGTCCAAAAGAATTTGAAAATAAGCAAGTTTGTTGATAAATCTAAGCGTGTGTTTAATATTGATGATCAATAAAAAATGAATTAATTTATCAATGAAGAATATTAATAACAGAGACTCTATATGGCTCTGTTATATTAATAGCAGAGTTGTATATAGATAAATTCATAGATATTTAACTGAGTTACACCTTCATGGAACAGTGATTCCAGTTTCACCTAAAGTAAAATGTTGAGGCGTAGTGTTTGACTGAAAATTCATATCTTGAACCTGAGGAAGAAGTTTATGGAATGCTTCATATTTTGAAAGTCTTGGCAAACACTTCCTGGGGTGCAGAGCATTGTTCTGTGCTTTGCATTTACAGAGCAGTTGTCCACTCTAGACTGGATTGTGACTGTATTGTTTATAGATACACAAGCGGTAATGCATTTTGAAATCCTACCTTGGAAAGATGCAGAATCCAGCTTCTTGATGTTTTTCACCATCATGTTAAAATAAACACTAGTGAGATCTTCTACAGACAACTTTTTGCTGAGCACAGTCATTAAATATAGCAGTTATGTTCCTGTATATACAGATGGGTGGATCCAGGTCAACTGATCATATTGGGAAAACATTTGTAATTGATGACCACATAAAGGGCCGAAATTTGCACCACACTTCTTCAATCTTTGCATCTGAACTAACTGCTGTACATTATGCGTTTTTGTACATATCAAAGCTAGGCCAAAAAAAATTTGTTTATAGAGACTGGTACAGTGCATTGAAATCTTTAGAAAGCTTTTCTGACACTCAAAATCCAGTAGTTATTAAGATTCTAAAGTTAGATTTAAACTTACTAATGCATAGCTATTAAACTCTATATTGATGGGTACTGGTCATGTTGGGATGAAAGAAAATGAGTTTACAGATATTCACAGGGTTACGAAGGAAAAAGTTTTATGCAAGTGGCAGTTACTGTGAGGTGTTAGAATACTTGAAACCAGTAGTGGAATACTGAAATTCTATTAATAACCAAGGAGAGGAGGTAATGTATTGGGCACTAAGTCATGCACACTTATCATCTGGAGGGTGAGAGTGAAGCTGTATGTTCAATGTTCTGACAGTGTGTCATTTTTTAATTGAATGCTCATATTTTAACACATTCCTTTTAAAGTATTTTAATGACTCTGGCTTGGCTCTTGACGGAATAATCGGGAAAGAGGGGAATACTAATTTATTTCAGTACTTGACAGAAACTGGTTTTTGTCATCAAATTTTATGTTATATCCTTGTATTTTAATGCTATATATTTTAATGTCTCGTGTTTTATGATTTTATTCCTGCTTCACATTTCACATCATTATTTAAATTATAAGTAACTTCATTTCAATATCCATCATTTTATTACTTCTTTTGATTTTATATGTTTGCTGTTATTTTAAATTTGTAATTGTATTTATTTCTTGTGTGAATTTAACTGTGAATGTGTACAATCAATGTGTGTCTAGCACTAATAACCTCTGTAGGTTGTGCACATATGTCATTATAAGAAATCAGAAGTTCAAAATCGTAAAAACAACCTTGTATTTAGCGTAAGTATAATGATTTTTACGATTTTACATCATTATACTTACGCTAAATACAAGGTTGTTTTTACGATTTTGATTGTCACATTAGCGTGTTTCTATTCTAGTCTAAATCAGAAAAGGTGTTGCCTGATCTGTTTAAAAGCTGGTCACGTGTCAAAATCATGCCTAAGTTTTGTATTATGCATTGCTGTGTCCATAATTAAGTAAAAAGGACTCCAAAAATGCTAGAGATACTATGAGTCATACGATTTCTATGGAGTTGTTTTCAAAAAGTATATTTTTTAAAACTATCATAGTTGGAGTCTGACATAAAGGAAAATAGAGATAAGTAACAGCACTGTTGGACAAGGCTTGCATTGATCTTACATATCAGAAGAGCTTGTAGAAGAATTGAAACTACCACCTTCTGGGAAGAAATTTTATCACAAGGATTTTTTGACAGAGGGAGAACCGCAGAAGCAGTTCATCGTAGATATGATGTTTTAATTAAAAGGACTTGGAGAAATTTCGTTGCGTGGCATTGGTGTTAGGTTAGCCAGTGATTTGTTCGAGGCTACCAAGAGCCTGCCACAAAAGGAATAATTTTATCTGGCATTGAACCAGAATGCACTTTAAAAAATGTTTAATCGTGTAAATGTTTAATCCTCTGAGTGCAGCATAGTATGGTGGATGATAGGAGCACATGTTTTCACAGTATGAAAGATTTGTTGGAGTGATATTTTGGCATGGTGTAGTTATCATGTGAAGAAATGAACATTCTGTGCTACTGTGAGAATATAATAAAAGAACACACATCTATTTGTGAGAAGATCCAAATAAACCCTTGCCATTGATGTCGGCTCGCTTCATACATGAAAGTCTGAGAGATGAATTTGTTATTTTGAACAAATCAGATTATCTCAGAAATAGATTTCGGAAAGAATATCTTTCTAAACTACTGAGAAATCCAGTAAATGCTAGACGAAGAGAAAGTATCAAAAGAGAGATATAGCTCCAGTAGGTTCCGATAATATTAAAAGAATTAAGTGGCCTTTCGCTTGTGTTTAAACTATTCAGTGGCAGAGATGAACAGCAGCATGTGGCTTAACTATGTGTAGATTGTAAGGAATTAGTATTTTTATATATTTAGTATATGTAATATTTATGTACAAAATATTTAATGTGCATAAGACTTTGTTTTCGTGAATGTACATATTGTGAATAGATTCTTCATATAAGCTATGCTATTTATTGATCCAGTTCTAACAGTGGTACCACAGACCTCTCTGAAATGTTACTTAAAACCTTACGAGCAGGAGCATACTAACCCTTAAATTATATAACCTCACAGTGTTTATAATTTACATGAGTGCAAATGTTTAATGTATACAGCAGTGAGATCCAGCCTCATTGGGACATCAGCGATTTCAGAATTTTCTAGATTTCCAATCATCAGTTTGAATCTAATGATATCATGTAGAAATTATAAAATTAAAAATATGAAAAATTTGAACCGGAAACATTTAAGCATTTGTAATCTTAAGGGAATCAAAGTTTGCAAAAAAGCTCAATATTTATGTGTTTGTTTAAAAAAAAAAAAAAACATTCTTATCAGTGTAAATTATATAAGTTACTTCATATAACTTAATAATAATTTAGACTGATAGGAATGTTTATAAAGTTCAGTTACAAAGGAATGTTTATACAGTTCAGAGCATTCAGTTACTAGGCTGTGCTGTTCAAGTCCTGTAATTGATGAGCTGAAAATTAATGTTAAATTCTCAATCAAAATTTTTCCATTTGCAGCAACCTCTTTGTCCCTTTCTCCACTATTGGCAGCAGTGTTTTCTGCATTTAGAACCATACTATAGATTTTTAAGTAATTTGTCATTTTAGCATACCTTAATTCTTAGCTGGCTTTTGCTATACACCACTGGAAATAATCATGAGATCACAGGCTAAAGACATGTTGTTCTACTAAATGTTTCCTTACTTGTATTGCATAGTATCGCTGAAAAAGTTATCTTGAAATATTGGACCAGATAGTGGACTTCCCTCCTTTCTCATCTGTTGAAGCTATAAAAACAGTGCTTCTGATGATTGATCGTAATCACTGTCTTTCATTTTTTTTTTTTTTTTTTTTTTTTTTTTTTTTTTTTCTTTGTGACATTAGCTGAGTCATGTGTGCATGCTGAGTCACCCATTTTTCAGTTTCTTACCTTTTCATTCTCCAGTCACTAACTGTCTCTTCACCCATTGCCTAAACCACTAGTTACCTTTATTTCGTTTCTCCACAATCTAGCATATTAATAGCAGTAAGCTTTTCTTCTAGTAATAAAACCATTTGTTTTCTTCAAGCAGTTATTAAAACACTCGCACAAATAAGGGGAGTCTAAATCCTACGTAGTTTGGCTCCATTGTGAAAACTAAATACCAACTGAGTTTTCGCTCAAAGAATGCAAGAATCAAGGCCAAACATGATGACAATGGGGTTCTGTGTGGGATTGAATTATTCCTAAAACCAAGTCTGCAAAATTTTTATCTTTTGATGAGGCTTTTTTAACAACTTTTATTTATTGCATTGGGCTCAGATAACACAGATAATCAGGTTCTACTGTTCACCTCATAGTAGTGTTCATCCCATAGTACTTACTCTAAGTTGTATTCCTTAATTGCTTATTTTAGGTATAGAAAAATCATTTTAAAATGTTAAAATTTTATTTCATTTTTATTAAAATATTCATACCTGTGTATGAATATTTAAATGTAATGGTTACAGCAACACTTGCAAAAGATTAAAAATTAGTCACTCTGTTTTTTTTAAACTGTTATGTAAAAGTATAACGACTGAAATAAACTCACTCAGAACAAGAAGTGCATCACAGCATACAGAGACTCACAAGGAAAAAAAAGCCATTAGTTTCAGCACTTTCATTTATACCTGGACAGTTATATATCATTGTATTCAGTTTATGAAAAACTTTTACCCCATAACTACTGAGTAAAGTGTTGGTAGTAGAAGGATGCAGCAGCTTAGAAACATCAGATTTTCATAAACACATTTCTAGAAATATAATGCTAAAATGGATAAGGATTTTGGAAATGCAGATACTTCTTAACGTATAGTTCTCTGTCTTGTTCTGAAAAATCACCCTATCATGTAATGTGCTGTTGGCATTAAAATATATCATATTTGTTTGTGATTTGATTATCTTTTCTTACATGATACAATTTTTCAATGATGATTCTTAGTATGCATTATACATAGAAAATGTAGAAAGTAAAAATTATACTCTAAATCTGATAAAAGGAGATGGATTGCATCATCTGTTTAGAAGCAAAACTTAAGTTAGAGCAGCATAGGTTTACTATATCCGTTTAAAAAAAAGAGGTGTGGTTTTACTGAACTTCAAAATTGTTGAGGTGCTGTAAACAGTACTATTTATTGTAAAGTGTTCCTAAAATGTAATGATTGTTTTAGAAACTGGGTGGTTACTATTCAAAACTATTAAAATATGAATCATTACTGTAGAAATATTGGAAATCTATTTTGTCATTAAATTTCTTAATATTTGTTTAAAATTTTTTTTAACTGGATATTATCATTATTTTAGCATTACGTTTACTGTAGCTTTATTTTCATTTAAATGCTAATTGACTCAGTTTTTGAACTGAGCCTACTTATTTGTTTATTTAATATAAATATTTTTAATCATTCTGTATAAATAAAAGAATATCATTTTAAGGTTTATAGGTTGGCAAGGGAATTGTGAAGATATTTTGAAGACAAATTCTCTGCATTTATTTTCTTTCGTCATTACAAATGGTGTTGCTATCAACAGAATTTTTTTTTTAATTTAAATTACAAATAAATATGACATCTCTATTCCAGCTTCTCCAAAATATGAATGTCTCTGTGTGCTTTTATTCACGTAGCTTACCTTACCCCTTGTTTTAATTGATGCAAATAAAAATGTGAAGCATAATATATACCTGAATACACTTTGTCATGTGAATACGAATTTCAAAGAGGGAGTAATTTTGCCGTTCTCACATTTACATTTTTACCTTCCTTACCTGCCTTCATGATCTGCTGGATTTGACTACAAACAGCTGGCCAGCATCGCAAATTTAAGACCATGGTTACTAGTGTCCTAGGTATGCTTTTCATTTTTGTTGTATCCTGCTTAAAAATTCTTGTCCATGTATATAGTTTATGAACTTTTATTTGATGTAGTTGCTTGCTTATGTGTGGTTTTAAATATTAAAATTTTAAGTTTCTTATTTTCCAGTGAATTTAAAAATTGCCTTCCATACAAATTGTGTGTTGTGCTCTTGCAACATTAAAATTGTTTTGCATTCTTTTATACTAGCATGTGAAAGGATTATTTTTGTGGCATGGATTTTGTGGTGCGTATAAAAGGAAATAATGATGGCTGATAATTGAAGGAAAAGCATTAATGTGTGTGTGTAACACTGTAAAAAATATTTTTAATTCAGTATAAAATGTCATGTAGAATTTATTTTGTTTTAGCTATAAATGTCTTTTTAAAACTCATGAAAGGACTTGATTAGTGTTACAGTTTCAACTGACCTTTTGGCTTAAATGACTCGCTAGCACTTAAATTCTTACTTTGTTGGTCAAATATTTCTCATACATAAATTTTAAGGAGTCTGTTCTTGTGACATCTTTAGATGGCAGAAGGATATGTAACTTGAAAATCTGAAACAGGTCTGTCAGCGTGTTGAGCACGAGATTTATAATTTTGTTTGTTTATGTTCAGATTATTTTTAAGCCAAAAGGTAAACACATTGTAGCTAATAGTGGAGTTGAAATTGTAAAATACAAATTTATCCAGTCTATTTTTACTAAGGCAGAAAATGTGAGTTTGATTTTACTCATTATTTCATATAATTATCTTAACCTAGTTTATAGGGCTCTGAAAAAGCTAATTATATACATGAAGAAGGTGAGAAAAGTTTATATAATTTTAATGTATAGTTAAGATACATTTTTGTCTTAAACTTGAATTTAATTACCTCATTTTTTGTTGCTATTAGAATGTATTTCTAAAAACTGATTTTTTTAAAACAATGTGCATAATTATTTGTCTCCGTTCAGCTTTGAAGCACTCGCCATCAAAAAGAAAAGGTGTATCTGTTAAACAGAAAACATCTGTAGCAGCTGAACCTGATCTTCTAAGACCCTATCTTCCAAAAATTCCATCAGAGGCTGAATGTCCACAAGAAGGAGGTAATTGTTTATTTATTTATTTTAAAGTTATAAGTTTGTCATTATTGCAGGATGGTGAAAAGGAAGTCCAGTTTTGGTTTATTGCTGTCATTTTTCAGTAAAAGTCAAATGTTTAAAATATTAAAATGTGTTGCTTGAATATAAAATTTTTCATTATTTTCTGAATGCATGCTAACTAAATTCTAATTTTCAAATGTTCAGACTCATGCCTCAGAATATTGAGAAAATACAATTTATGAACTAATTAATTACAATTTATGAACAATGTTTGCAAATTAAGCTACTGTATTAAATTGTAAAAAACTGAATTTTCATCGTAAGGAATAAAGATGAAAAAAATTACTGTCACATCAGCCTAACATGGACTATATATGAAAAGTCCAAAAAGGAAAAGAAGAATGCAAGGCTTGATAGCAGCAGTGATAGATAATGATGTAATATTTTAGAATCATTTTTTATGCTGTTGTTTGCAGTTCAAAGTATGAGCCAGTTTCCACAAAGTCCTCCAGAAAAGCATTTGTCTTAGGCAGATATCCCTTGCATGCTTTGCCATAATCAAGTGAACTAAACCATCAAAATTTGTGTATACTCAGTACAAATATGAGATTTGTTTAATAAAGCAAGTAAAAAATTGTTGATAACTACTTTAAAATGTACTCATTTGTAGAAAAGTTTAAAGTATATTCAATAATTTGCCTGGTTTGTATTTATTTCATGTTGGTGAAAATGTAGAACATGTTGAATTGCTGATGCTGTAGAGTCAATTTGCGAGAATAGCAGCATTAATTAACTGTAAATGTTAAATTAATGCCCTTGTTTTTTGTTATAATTTATTACTTCTAAACTGTACTAATTACTTTTGATAAACTGTACCAGAGTTGCTGAATTTGCACTATATGTATTCATTTTTATTTGTGACTACCTGGGATTAAAGCAGTTCTTAGCTAATATTTTGGTGTCTGTCTTGCACATAAAAAAACACTAGCTGAAATAAAGCTTGCTTCCTTTGTTTTCTTATAAAAAAAATTTACATGATTTTTCTGTGTATAAGTTACTGAATAGTACCAGTTAAAAGGAATTATTTCATTGTATAAATGTATTTTAATCTTTTTAAATATGTAGAGTAATTATTTGTATTGCAAAACTTGGTGTGCAATATTTTTGCATTTAGCTAACATTTTACATCTTTTAAAATTTCTGCATTTTATTTACAGTAGAACCCACTGCTCCAGCCCCAGTGCCTTTCCCGAGTACTTTTTCTGAAGTAGACAGCACAAATATTTCTAGTGATTTAAAATGTAATACATCTTGGAGCTCTAGAGGAAGACAAAAGATACGTGCCAATACTGATCCTGTACCGCCAAGAATGATTTCTTTACGGTCAAGTAGTGCTGTTGGCAAAACGTCGTCTGTAACGTGGGATAAAACAGAAGTTGTTAGGTTAGATCATTATTCCTTTTCTTGTAGTGTTTAGTTTAAAATCTATCATAATATAGTCAATAATCTAACAAAGATACAAATTTTATTCTTGTCAGTGATAAGAAATCTAGATTATTGAGTTATATTAAAAAGTATGTTTTAAATAGTTAAAATTTAATATTGTAGATATTTTTACCCCCTTAAACTTTGATGAACTTGGTAATATGTCATATTTGTTCAAGCACAACATGACAGAACTGTGCATGGTGTGTAGTTTATTACTTTTGAAATGGCATTTGAACAGCTTAAAAGTGTGAGATGTCCTGAAATGGACACATTTAAAAGAAATACCTAAAAAACAACAAGTAAAAAAAAAAAAAAAAACTTGCAAAATGTTTCTATACTAGTGGATAAAGCAGGCTTTACTGAGAAATGATACTGCTGTCGTTGAACGTTTTATGCCCATTACAAGTACTCGGTAAAATTTTAATTGTGGTATATAGCAAAATTTCTTTCTTAGATTTTATCTGGTATTGCATAAATAAGTTTTTTCCCCCCTTTTTTCCTGTTTTAAGGTATTCTTTAGAAAGGTTGGATGCCTATTTCAGGGCATCCTGTTGCTTCTTTTTTTAGGTCCATATCTCTATTCAAAACTTTGAAAATCTCATTTGTTTATTTACTTAGAACTCTGCAGGTAATTAATTCAATGTAATTAAATTTTCGTATTCTACCATGAAAAAAAAAAATCTTGTACATTCATTTTCTGGTTTCATACATAGTAAAGATTTTTGCTTCCTCTAACCACGAGGTCTGTTGACTAAAGCTTGCAGCGTGGTGCTAATAATGTGCAATCTGCAATGATTCAAAATGACAGTGTCTTTCTGTAATTTACTCTTTTTTATGTATAACTGGATCTTTCAAACTGATAATGCCCTTATTCACCAAACTCAAGTTTCTCAGTCATGGTTTGAACTTAGCTGCTAACTCTTGTGTTTTTACTGGGATACCCCCCTTTTTTTGTGTGTGTAGGCAAGCAGCCCTAAAGTGCTTTGCCGTAATCAAATAAACCAGCCCAGTTTTTCATCATCGGTCGCCCAGTAGATCACAGAGTCTCCAAGTTTATTTTTATCATTTCATTTCATTGTTACCAACAAGGCTTTAAGCTTTTATCAGCGAAACTAAGATCAGTTAGTACAGTAACCTTGGATAAAACTACAGAATAGGCCTGATTGGTCAAGACAATGAGTCATGATCCTTTTCGTCAATGTAGGGCACTAGATGAAGACTGCAAGTTTCTTATCAAAAGTGTTGAATCCATGTAGATGGGAAGCGATGATGATGTAAGCGTGTCTGACACAAAGTGAAGAGAGTTTTTTTACTTCATTTTATGCAGGTGATCTTCTAAGACCCTATCTTCCAAAAATCACATCAGAGGCTGAAACTTGAAGTTTGTTATTAACTCATTAATTTTATTAGTTGGCTGCAAAGTATTCCAAAATATGATCAGAGCTTTAAAGAATCTTATTTAAAAAAATTTGATTCTGTACAAGAATGAAGAGAGAAGAATATGCTTTTTGCTTGATATGCTTGGTAAATTTCAAAATGTTTTATAGTAGGTAAAAAAAGCGTTGCCACGCACTGCAGAAACAAAAAGTTCATAGAGAACAAACAAACTACAGTTATCAAAAGGAGCTTAAATGTAACTAATAATGGCATGATACTCATTATGAAGTGGAAAAATCATGCTTTGTAACGGACTAAAACAACTGCTGTAGTTATAAAGGGTTGGGTTCAGAGGAAAGTATTTACAATCCAAGCCCTTCAGTATTTCGACTAATGGGAGATAACAATTTATATCCTCAGATGGTTACTTTCTTTGAAGATTGTTCAGTGGAAACTTGCCTTTTCATTTTTCCAAGCTTAGAAGGTGACTCAATATTAAACATTTGTAATATGATTTGGTAATATGAATCAAAATGTATATGCATTGGAAATTGTATTGCTTTTGGTTGCAGCAATACCTCTGTTATGATAGGACATATATGTGGTGTAGTTTCTCTTCTAAAAACAGTATAATGTGAATTATTTGTGATTGGTGGTTAACACCATCTCATTACTGTAGTTGCAAGGAAAAAAGTACAAATTTACTGCCAGTGAAGGAAGATGAAATTTGTGGCAATATTTTGTTATTTAAAAAAGAGGAAGAAGAAATGCTTCAAAAGTTTCAACCTCACCATGATAAAGAGGTAAGATTCTAAGGAATATACAACCCAGATGGCTATCAATAGGAAAGTGGTTTAATACTTTTGTTGGAGCAATCCACTACTGAGCTTTTGTTTTTTTAAAGCGAAGAGAGAGGTTAAATTGTCGTCCTAATCACTGTCATTAGGAAAATGTTTAATACTTTTGGTTGGAGCAAATAGCATCCACTTCTGACTTTTATAAAGCTGAGAATTAAATTGTCATCTGTTGACTTGCTGGAATCTTATTTCAAAGAAAGGAAGATGATAGAGGAACATTCAGATGAAAGTATTTCACTTAAATCTATAAAACCTAAAAATAATCCTAAAGTTAAGATCGGTAAATTACCTCATACGATGTCAAAATGTAAGCAAAAATGTGTATAAATACAAACATCCAAGACTTACAATTAGCCAAGAAAGGCTACATTAATTTTTATCTTCTAAATTGAGTAGGCCATTTCACTGGTTTTTGTTGAACTCTATTCCTGTGTTGAGTAAATGACTATACTTATGCTAACCAAAGACCTTGATTCATAATATATGTTACGAGACTCTACCTGAATTTTGTTCATTCAGTCGGTGCTCCATTAAAATAAACTTATAATTAAATAATATGGGCAATCCACCCAATTAATTCACTGTAAAACAGGCAATCCACTTTAATTAATTCACTATAAAACAGGCAATCTATTTTAATTAATTCACTATAAAACAGGCAATCCACCTTAAATCAAAGTCATGGTGCGTTTTGCTTTTTATTCTAAAACATAAAAACGATACAATGTTGCCAAACCGTAAAAATTTAACCTTTAAAGAAATTACATTTATACAATCTATGAGTTGCTCGCGACATCTCCTCCCACCTTTTGATTTATGGTGGGCAGAACATAAATCAAAATACAATATACTTAATATCGAGACTAAACAATACTTAGTATAATCATAAAAGAAAAACTAATTAAAACGTGAAGGTTTTACAATAGTTCTACCACATCTAGTTTTAATTATCTTATCAGGAGGTTTAAAGTTAATTTCTTTACTAGTATGTTAAATTACTACTTACTTACTATGTTAAATTGGTTTTGTTTAGGTAAAAACAAGTTCTCGTCGTCCATCACTTCCAAAAGATACAGTCGTTGCACAGGACTGATCAATTCACCTGCAGCTGTTTTCACCTTTGCCACTCTAACACAATTATCTTGACTCTGGAATAGTTCAATTATTCGACCCAATAGCCAGTCCAATCTTTTTTTGTTGTCACTTCCCACAAGTACCACATCTCCTAAATATATTTGTCTTCGAGTAGCTTTATTATCTCTGGACTGAATTAGGAGACTGAAATATTCATCTCTAAACCTTTTCCGAGATCTTGTCGTAATTTCTGCTGATATCTATATCTCTTAGTGATATTGACTTCATCTATATGGTCTTAAGTCCGGAACTCCCACCGTTCTTATATCCTGAATGAACATAGAGTGTTAAAGGCACTAAATCTTCAGGATCTTCAGGCAAATAACTTGACGGTCTTGCGTTGATTACAGCTTCCGTATCGCAGAGAATGGTACAAAGCTCCTCATGTCTCAAGCAGGCTCTTCCTAATATTCTCAAAATTTTCTTAACCATCTGAATAATACGCTCTCACCCCTCCTCCACGCAGCTGTTGGGGGATTGAACTTCCATGCAATCTTCAAAATAGAACATTCTTGCATAATTTTGTTCCAATCAAGTGAAAGAAAGAGGTTGTTAGTCCCAACAAAGTTCGTACCGTTGTCACTATACATAGTTTTTGGTCGTCCACGTTTGGCTATGAATCTTCTGAAGCCCAACAAAAAATTATCGGTGGAAAGTCATCGTATCAGTTCAAGATGCATGGTCCTATAAACAGCACAGGTGAATAAAAGTATCCAACTTTTCTATCCATCCTTTAGATAAAGAGGCCCAGATAAGTCTACTCCAGTTACTTCAAAAAACAGAGCGTTTCGGACTCTATCTTCAGGCAGTGGGACTGGAACTGTTTCAATTTTTTTTTGAATTATATCTTTTGCATCGAATGCATTTTGCGATTAACCCTTTGAACTGTTTTGCGTCCTCTTAAAATCCAAAACCTTTGACAAATATCCATCAAAACAATTTGAACTCCAGCGTGTGAAAGTACTGTATGTCTTTTGAAAATTGACTTTTCTGCAATTTGATTATCAGAAGGTAAAAGTATGGGACACACGAAATAATCGGTATCATCTCTTCGAAGGATTTTTGTCTTCAGTCTCATTAAGCCTTCTTTATCAGTGAAAATGCAAAGAGTTTTCAACTTTGATTTTGTAGATTTGTTTGGAAAGATTCTTTCTGAACAATTAAGAAAAGCCTTTTCTCAGCTGCTTCTATTTCCTGAACAGATATTTCTTCCTTCAGTTTGTGATCGAAATTTCTAGAATTATGAAAGAATCACAGAATCCAAGCTATCAGCCGAATGATTCTCGAATATTTAGAAAAACGATACAAGTACCATTTTTCGTTAGGAGCAATTGAGGTACCTAAGGCAGTTATCCCCCCCCTTTTTTTTTTTTTTTTTTTTTCTTTAGAAACGTCTTCCACATTTAATTTAATTTCAGAGACGGGCTGATTTTCTTCAGGCTGCTTAAGCCACGGTGGACCCTCCCACCATCTGGATCTGAGCAGAACTCCAGGGAACATCCTCTGGATGGGAGATCAGCCGGATTGTCGCTTCCATTGTTCCTTTGATGTTAAATTTCTTATCTCCTTCACTCGATTATGTACAAA